AAGCCACAATGAATATCCTCTGAAAATGAGTTTTTTGGAGGGCAGGAAGGTAAAGCATGTTTGAAATCCCAACTTAACCAGTCAAATGCCTTGCAGTGAACATCCAGTGAATGTTTAATCCAGTGGGGGGTGGGGTTTCTCACCTTAAATCTGTCAGATAAGCAGCATCAAGAATATCTTTAAACCAGATTTGGCACAAATCTTTTCCTTGATTTCCCTCTCGTATCCATTTTTGTTTCATTGATCCAATCTAAATCGCCACCCAAAATTGCAGTTCCTTTTGCAAATTGTGTGAGTCATTGAAGAGTTTGCTGTAAAATATTTATTTGGCCATTATTAGGGCTAAACATTGAGCCTAGAGTAATTTCACGATTTTCATTAATCCTTGAAAAATACATCTACCTTTAGGGTATCTTGACCCATGAAACCTAGGCTTATTGACAGTCCAGATTGCTACCTCCTTTTCTGTGGATTTGCCTGCAACCATATGCCATTCACCCTATGCACAAGAAATAAGCTGTTTTACCTATTTAGATATTATTATTATTTTGTAGTTCCTTTCTGAGGCTTCATTTTTTAATACTGACCATACTCTTTCTCCTCTTCACCTTGGTTACCTAGACCATTCACTTTCCATGTGCAGACTTTTAGCCCCCATAATATTAATACTGGAGTTCTTTCCACTAATTATAAATACAGAATACTTATAATTAAGCCAAAGGTTCGGTATCATCAGATAAGGGATGCCAGTGGCACTGTGGTCTCAACCACACTGAGCATCTTGGGCTTGCCGATCGGAAGGTCAACAGTTCGAATCCATGCGATGGGGTGAGCTCCTGTTGCTCTGTCCCAGCTTTTGCCAACCTAGCAGTTCAAAAGCCTACCCGTGTGAGTATAGAAATAGGTACCACTGCAGCGGGAAGATAAACAGCATTTCCATGCACTCTGGCTTCCATCACGATGTTCCGTTACACCAGAAGCAGTTTAGTCATGCTGGCCACATGACCCAGAAAGCTGCCAGTGGACAAATGCCGGCTCCCTTGGCCTGAAAGCGGGATGAGTGCTGCACCCCACAGTCAAATTCAACTAGACTTAACCATCCAGGGGTTCTTTATCTTTTACCTTTAACTTTACAGTCTATCATCAGATATTGAGAAACACCCTTATTTGGTAAAATTGGTTGGGTTGTAGCCCTCAAGAGTGGTTTTTGGTATGAGCTGCTGGGAGAAATCAGGAATTGTTTGACACTAAATTCCAGAGACATTTCAAATATTAAAATGCACAAGGAATATGACCCCCTCCCCCCTAATTTTACTCTCTTCCTTCTACACTCAGTGTAAATCCAGAGTCTGTCCATTCCCTCAAGAGAGGTAATGATGGATAGGGAGTTTAGGTACGGCACATTTCAATCACCTTCCCCCTAATACTGCAACTTCTATCCTATATCAGAAAAACAACCTTAAGTTTCCTTCTAGTATTTGACTAATTCAAGCACATCAATTATTCCTCACCCAATGGCTGCCTATCTTCCTGTGAAGAATGGGCTGATTTTCGTGCCATTAGAGAACATTCCTCTTGGCTTTCCAGGCCACTTGTGGGTGAATCAGAGCCCCAGGGAGTAAAGTAAGGTGTAATATGCTTTTCCTTAACCCCCTACAAGGCTGTGAATCATTGCCTGTCCAGATGTTTATAGGAAGATGCTTTTGTCTGTCTAATTTGAGTTGTTGGCTATATTTTAAGCAGACAGTCTAAACTGCCATCTTGGACAATGATGTATTTGCCCTTCCATAACAGCTTCTGGGTGAAACCTTTATGATATGTGTAGAGGACATGCTTTGGAAGAATTTAGGAATACACAAATAACTTGGAAGACCTCCAGCAAGAATCCACTGTTATATGAAAAACGCAAGCTGAAAATATTAGCCAATTAAAATAACATACTTTGCATTTGGAGAATTCAAATATAGCATGCTCTATCTACTATTTATTCAACTGTAGCAGTTCATTCCTGATGAAACTCTTAATTAAAAATTATTGCAGAGTCACTTTATTGTTCTCAGAGCGGGGAATTTTTAATAGGTTAAATGTAATGAGTGCCATTTTAAAAAATTAATGTGCAGTGGGGAATAATGTTTTTGGGCATGTGTGGTTGTATTTAGATGCTAGAAAACTCAAAAACATAACTCGCAGCACGTGGAGGGGCTGAGGAATATGGTACCCTCTGGAAAGAGAGAAATACATTTCATCTTAACCTTCCAGCAGCACAGTGATTCCCTATTGAACACAGCAGAATGTCCTGATGGCATTCTTCCAAAGACGTAGTAACATACAGAATTCTGTATTTCTACTTTACTTCGAAGCCCTCGTATGGGTACCTTTTGCTATACGATGCAATTTATTTCATTAGCAATTAAAGCATGAGTACTTTATCAACACCTTCCTTAAAACATATTATTACAGTTAGGAGCTGGAACTATAGATTGTGGTTTTTAAGTACTTTCCCTGGTGCAGAGCTGAGATTCAAACACATTTCTGAATATCACAACCTTATACAAATTATGACCCACCAAGCCATTTGCAGTCTATAGAATGCGAACAGTTGCTATTGGCAATGCAAAACTAGGAGATTTGTCTGTCACTTGAGATGCCACAAGGCATTGTAGCAAACGTCATAAATTTTGTGGATTCTCACACTTGCTGCTAATTAAAAAAATGTAAGAGGGTCGGTGGGAAATGTCAGAAATCATTGTGTAACGTGCCTGCTTTGGAAATTTGGAAATTTCCTTTTTCCTGTAAATGATGGGAAATGAGGTTGACATCTACTTAAGGCATTCCGCTGCCATTTAGATTTTATTATTAGGTAACAGAATTTTTTAAGAGTTCCTTTCAGGTCTCTTAAAAATGTAAGAATTCGCCACATTTTTAATGCTTACTAAAAGGTGTGTGTATTTGTGCGTATGTGATACGGTATTTAAACCATCATCTTTTTCCTTTTGCAGACATGCTCCTCTTGACAGCAGCCAACATCCAAAGCAACTAGGCAAGCCTCCAGGTTCCGGGCCCCCTACTCTTAGCAAAAGCAGAACAGTAGATACGTTGAAAACAGAGCAGCGCTTGCCTGGGAAGAGCCCGTCCTCTACAAGTTTGAGACAGTCTAAATCAAGAACTGATTTTAAAGACGACCAGAAGCCAAGTATGATGCCCAGCTTCCTCTCGGATGCCAACCCATTTGGCGCAGTCACTTCAGTTGTAAACAAATTCAACCCCTTTGATTTGATTTCTGACTCAGACCCAGCTCAGGAAGACGCCTCAAAGAAACCGAAGCCTGCACAAAAGGAGCAGGATAAGCCTGAGCTGCAAAAGGGACCCACCAAGCAACCAGCACAACAACAATCTCCGAAGGCAACAGCTCCCCAACAGGGGGCTGACAAACCAGCCCCGCAGAAAACAGGACCTTCCAAACCGGCACCGCAGCAGCAGCAGCAGCCACAGCCACCTGGGGTGCCTAAGCAGGCTCAGAAACCAGGGCCTGGTCAAGCAAAAGGCCCACAGGCAGAAGCAGCAAAACAGCAGCCAGGGCCACCAAAAGCTCAGTCACAGCAGCCAGGGCCACCAAAAGCTCAGTCACAGCAGCCAGAGCCTACAAAGCCTGTTCAGCAGCAGAGCTCTGTAAAGCCTTCACCGCAACAACCGGGAGCAACAAAAGCACCCTCACAGCCACCTGATGGTGCTAAAACATCTTCCCAGGCGCCTTCTCCTGCCAAGCCAGCTGCCCAGCAAGGAACACCACCCAGCAAGCAGCCGTCTCAGCAGCCAGGAGGGCCAGCAAAGGCTGCCCCCCAGGCAGCAGGCCCCACAAAGGAACCTTCGAAGGCACCAGTTCAGCCAACTGGGCCTGCAAAGCCACCACAGCAGCAGGCAGGACCTACAAAACCTACCGGCCAACAGCCGGGACCTGAGAAACCGCCCCAACAGCAACAAGCTGCTTCATCTCAGCCTGGTGGATCAGCTCCAAAGAAAACCTTTTGCCCACTTTGCACTACCACTGAATTGCTTCTGCACACTCCTGAGAAGGCCAATTACAATACATGTACTCAGTGTCAAACTGTAGTTTGCAGTCTGTGTGGGTTCAATCCTAATCCGCATATAACAGAGGTAAGTGAATATTTAAGCCATAAAATTGAAAAGAAGATTTAATTTCATTGAGTTTGAATGAGTTGAGAAGTTTACTTGTGCATGACCTTTATGTGTTATGGCATCTAGATCATTGAGTTTCTGGGATCTTTTGGGAGTTTTAGCAGGGGTTCCTCATAGAGGACACTGGCAATGACAGATAAACTGCCTAAAAAGGGCGTATCTGCTGTTACTAGTCTTCCCCTGCAATACAGTGGACAATGCTGGATGTACTGTTGGGTTGCACAGAGTGATAGTTTGGCTTGACACACTGGGCTAGTACTCATGGGAACTGAGAGTGCTTTCTTGAACATGCCTCAGAATTCTCCATAGGGTTGTGCAACAGATGCTCGAGTTCCTCTGCAGACAAATCAGTGTGAGGTTAGAAAGTTTGAAAATTATCCATCTAGACAGTATGGGTTGTGAAGCAGAAAGTATTGTAAGTTTTTACTTTCTGATACTACTACTACTACTACTACTACTAATAATAATAATAATAAAATAATAATAATTTGTATACCACCTTTCATCTATAGATCTCAGGGTGGTCCACAGCATAAAAATTCTAGATAAAAAACGCAAAATACATAAGAAGAACAAAACAAACCAATAACCCTACCCCCACTAGATAGAAGTGCACTGCAATTAGATATATATATATATACCCACACACATATACATATACATATATATATATATATACCCACACACATATACATATATATATATATATACACACACACACACACACACATATACATATACATATACATATATATACACACACACACATATACATACATATATATATATATACCCACACACATATACATATATATACACACACACATACATACATACATATATATATACACGTGTGTGTGTGTGTGTGTGTGTTGTTTTTTGGTAATTTGGTCAAAGAATAAAAAGGAGAATTCCCTAGATGCCTAAATCCAGATTTTGGGACAAGTACTCTTTGGTGAGAGAGAACCCCAGCAGAGATTTAAATTCACATGCTGCAAAACATGCTGCAAAAAAGTGAGGAAATATAGGCTGTTAGACCTTTAAAATATCCTATTCTAAGCTGCTTCCAAAGTTCCTTACTTCCCTTGCCATAGAAAGAGACAGCACGTTCAGTAAGTTAAAAAAAGTTTACTTACAAACCCTTCAAAGGTCAGATCCATGTACTTTTCCATACAGTAGCAAGATGGTAAGTGTTTCTAAATTATTTCTATAGAAACTCAAAGATGCCTTGCTTAAGCCACGCTGTCTCAGCTTGGAGCATCCAGCTTACTGTTAGGGTTCACATGGTGGAAGAATGAGAACCAAGAGTTTGGTAACCCTTCCTCCCAAGGTGAAGGGGTGTTTGTGTGACCTAGCTAAGCCTAGCAGGACAGCTTACTCTATGGTCTTAACCCTTTCTGGCATTAATTAGAGTTAAGCATGTTGGTTATATGAGGCTGGATAGATCCATATCTATATATCTATACCTCTGCTTGCCTTGATGTAAAACTTTTGGTGTGACTACTGCAGGCTCTATGGTAAGATTTGTACTTGCTCTCTCTCTCTCCTCTGTGACAGCTATAAATCCCAAACTCCCCCAGTTTGTCAGATAATGATTAAAGGTTATCCTTGCGTAGTATTGTGATGTGCTTTGAACTGCCAGCTATTGACTCCGTCTGCAGTGCATGCAGCTTGGGCCCAGGAGGCTGGCCAAGAAGGGTGCCAAAGAAGCTCTGTGGCCAAGAAGCAGTTGCAGCAGATCTCTGCCTGTAAACCCGAATGCACAATTCAATTTTATTTTTGCGGCTTCCGCTAGGAGATATTGTGACACTTCTTACCAAATCAGCTGAGGAAGATATAATACTTTTGTCTAGAACAGTAACAACAAAATCCCACCATTATAGAGCTTCACTTCTTTATCTTTCATGTTACTTACTTGTCTCAGTGATCATTCAAAGGGTCCCAGGTTACAACGTAGAACATTAATATTATTAAAACAAAGCAATAGAATTCACATGAAGCATCAAAACATCAGTTATACAGTTATCACTGTACATCAGTGCAGCAGACAGACAACCAGTCATTGTACAATTGGCCCCATCTTTTCCACTGCCTTCGAAAGCCTAGGTGAAAAGTTGTGTCTTTATCTGACACTGAAAAGTAAGATAAAAAGGGAAGTAATTTTCCCAAGTGAGGTGCCACCGTGGAGAAGGCCATATCTTGTGTTACCGCACAAAGAACATCACTTAACTATGGGATAATGTTGGGAGTTACCAGAACATGAATTACTGTGGCTAAGCTAGCTCTGTCCAGGAAGGACTAAAATAGACACTCCTGGCCACTGAGACCACCTGGGCCTCAAGTGTCACACACTTATAATATATTATATTGATAAAGTTCATATATAACTGGAGTTCCACTCCTTCTTCCCATCACTCTGCTGATCAGTAGGAGGGTATGTTGTGGGGCCTTGTAATATTAGGCAATGAGCCAGGAGCAGCTTGGAGGATGCAGATCAAAAACTTCTAAACTAGAGTTGGAAAATAAGTGCATGATTCTTGGAGACTATGCACACTGACCAGAGAATGAATGCATTGCCTAGAGAATGTACAGAATGCAGTAAAAATATGCACATTCCCCAAGGCCAGTTGGGGATTATGTATATTGACTGGGAAATGTGCACCATTTGTTCTTAATGGACAGATTGTATTCACATTCTTGATGAGGCCCATTGAATGTGCACCATGGCCAATAGTTAGGCCCACAATTTACAATTCTAACATACATATATGTAAAACACCAGCATTCCAGAATGTAGGAGAGTAAGCCACTGTAAATGAGGCCTGCAGTATTGCTGTGATTGCATCTATAGTCTTCTGAGCTGTGGAGCAGGGGGCAGGTAGGAGCACAGACCTAACTATGGCATGGCCAAGCAAACCATTTCTTAAATTCAAGAACATAAAATTGTAACAGTGGTGGTCCTCATAGCTGTATTGCATGATCTTTCTAGATCAAACTTGATGACAAAAGGCAGTTTATTCTGCATCTGGCATCTTGAATGACAATTATTTAGCTTCCTCTTTAATCACAAATCTAAAATAGATTGCTACATTACACAGGGTTGCTTTGCTCAAGACATGCTGCTCTACACTTAGGCAAGATTGCTGTGCAATCTTAGACATTTGTTCATGCTGATAAATGTAGCATGCGAACAAGCCTTTGACGGTGGCTGCAGCTGCCAGCAATTTCTGTGATCATGGTAGCCTTTTCTCCACACACTCTGATTGCAAAGAATTTTTGCCGGCTGCATCCACAAATGACTGGTTCATGTGTTGCTTTGTCCACTTCAATGCATAGCCAAGAATTACGTTTGGAGAATAAAATGTCTTGCATCAATTGGCTCATAACAGTAGAATTGCAAACAGTGAAGAAGCCTTCCTGGTACAATCAAGTTTGGCAGTTGTGAGGCAATTGCTGGAAAAACGTGCACCCAAACTTGCATTTAAATCATGTGCATTTCTCTCTAAACTGTACATCTCTTTCTCTAACACACACATTTTTGTATACATTCTGGAGCCAAAAACTTCATCACCAAATCTGGAGAAGTGTGCAGTCCAAAAGAAAACTGGTTTCCTATTTGTGCATTACTCCAAATCAAGTCTGTTTGCTTAGAAGTGTGGGCAGAATCACATTCTCCCTCATCCCTGTTATTCTGTAACGCAGCCAAACGCTGCCAGAACAGAGAGAAAGGTCAGTAGAGGAAATAGGAAGCCATCAGAGAAAATTGATTTTTAAATCACCAAGAAAATAAATAAACAAGTTAAATTTGGTGGTTGTGGGATGTGTGTGTGATTTCCCCTGAATTGTCCTCACCAGGCACCTGCTTTCAGTGTTGCCTGTTTTGCAGCTGTGGTGGCACTGCTTCTGGGGCTGCTTTCTTTACTGCAATGTCCCATTGTCAGTTCACTACATCCTCATGTGGCACCATGGCAAAGGAACTGCTTTGAGGGTTGTTGTTCTTACAATCCATCGGTACATAATTTTTTATGAAATAAAATCAAGAGAGAAACATTTGTGATACCTACCTCTAGCTTTGTTCCCACCCCCACCCCCAAATTCAAGCAACTTCGCTAACTGAGAAAGTTATTACTGGAGAGATCACTGTCTTAGTTTATAGGGAATGTAGATTTCGTTGGGTGGCAGATTATATAGGTGTTAACACAGAATAGAGCAGGACCTAGAACCTGATGCCTCTGCTGACCTGCAGATTCCTTGTAGATATTACTAAGTGCACAATGCTAAATGTAGTATGTGATCTAAAAAGACATATTAATGTCTAATGTTTTGTATATAATGTATTTGTATATAGTTGTAAACCTGGTTTAAAAAGCCTAAAAGCTTATTTAAACAATCAAACAAACATCAGAAGACACAGGGCAGGAATCAGCTAATGAACCAGTCATCAGAAGCTCTTCAACAAGGACAACCACTTGTGCAATGGGGCTTTCCTTCCCCCTTCCCCATCCTGTATGCCCTTTTACCCCCTGAAATTGGCACTGGGAAGGGAGGGATTGGAAGAATCCTTAGAACAGGAGAGGAGGGACCGTTCCATCTGTCAAGCTGAATTGCTTGCAAAGATGGTGTGTTTGTCATAGCACAAAACTGAATTTGTTGTTGTTGTTGTTTAGTCATTTAGTCGTGTCTGACTCTTCGTGACCCCATGGACCATAGCACGCCAGGCACTGCTGCCTTCCACTGCCTCCCGCAGTTTGGTCAAACTCATGCTGGTAGCTTCGAGAACACTGTCCAACCATCTCATCCTCTGTCGTCCCCTTCTCCTTGTGCCCTCCATCTTTCCCAACATCAGGGTCTTTTCCAGGGAGTCTTCTCTTCTCATGAGGTGGCCAAAGTATTGGAGTCTCAGCTTCATGATCTGTCCTTCCAGTGAGCACTCAGGGCTGATTTCCTTCAGAACGGATAGGTTTGATCTTCCTGCAGTCCATGGGACTCTCAAGAGTCTCCTCCAGCACCAGAATTCAAAAGCATCAATCCTTCGGCGATCAGCCTTCTTTATGGTCCAGCTCTCACTTCCATACATCACTACTGGGAAAACCATATTTAAATTCATTAAATTTCTATATTTATTAAATTTCTTCATCCAAGGATCACAGAGCAGCTTGCAAGAACAAAACAACATAGTAAGAAACAAAAACAATACCCCCCTCACAGTTTAAAAGGCCATAGATTGTTTAATTAGACAAAGGCCTGGGATAAAAGGAATGTTTTTGCTTGGCGCCTAAAGATATATAACGAAGATGCCAGGCAAAACTCCCTGGGGAAAGCATATTTTGTTTTTATTCCAATCCTTGTTTTTACCCATGATTTGTTCTTTACCTAGGAAAGCAATCGTTAACTCATGTTTCATACTGGGTTATGCACTCAGTGCTAAGAGATTAGAAGTGTAGGCATTGCTTTTAAGATGTTTGGACTAAGTACAGCATTTTAAATTAGGCTGTTGTTGAAAACAAAATGTTACTATAGTTGACATGCAAAAATAACAATTTAAATCAGGAGCTTGTTCTTTAAATATCTGGTTGTTATTATTTTTTAAAAAATACCCACCTTTCTATTAATTGTCCATTTATCTTAGAGTTGCCTTATGTCCAGAATTTCCCAGATATATCCAGAATACTGCACCTGCAAGCAGTGTTCGGGCAGAAATTGGTAAAATGTCTGGGGAAATCCGGACATGGGAAGCCCATGTCGGCAGTGTCATTTTTGCTGATTTTCTCAGAGATAGTTCAAAAACATCCAATTTCTGTCTGGATTTCACTTTTTGAAATATGGCAACCCTAAATTATGTACCATATTGTTTACAACTAGGAATGAGGAACAATTT